TCATGATGGTTGATCTAAGGAATGAATGGATGGGATCTCTTCACCCCACAGGTCTCCAAGATCAAAGGTCAAGATTAAATCTCACAATGATGGTAAAACCCTAACCCTAGAAACCCTAGCCTTTGCTCTATATAAACTAGCAATGGAATGGTTCATTCTCTACACTCCACATCTCTCTCTATCTAAGATTTAAGGAGTGGCACACCACTCTTTGAATATATCTCTTCTTCTCTCTCCAAACTTTAGGTTTTAGGAAGGAAAACTAAGCCAAGGGGTGGCACGCCCAAGCCATATAGCCTAGCCCTAGGTCATAGCCTTATGCTCATGTATTGAGCCTTGGTTAAGGATATCCCTTGTTATGCTCTCTGCTGGTTTTGCTTAAGCTTCCCAAGTTGTGAGATGAGTTCTTGAACCAAGATCTCATGTGCCATTAGTGGAGGAGACCCAATGTGGGCTGTACGAAGTCCTTGGGGGTAACCTGAGGCAATATATGAGATATTTTCTTGGTTTATGCTCCATTAATTCCATTACACCTTTCATTTCCAGATCTGTACTATGAATGTTTTTTGTTTAATGACAAGCAAGTGAGATTTTTTTGGCAATTTATTTGATTTATATTGTATTTGGACACTTGTGAGTGATTCGTGTGGCAATACAATAAGAAAAGATAAAAAAAAATTTAATCAGGATTAATTTGCCGGGTCACGTAGTCCACCGTTAAAATTATACAATAGCCTTCTCCAAACTGGCACTCGATGTTGGGCAGCATTTACCATTCTCAAGTCTATACTATTGACACTCAAGGATGGGCTAGATTTTCCATTTCGACTAAGTTTGTAATCGACGATGGAGCACATGTATTGTGCTCATGCACGAGCATCTTGTGCATTACTCCCTCAGTCAAAAGACACAAAACACCACACTAGATTCATTGCAAAATGTGTGCGCCGTAGACAATTTGAGGAAAACCAAATATTATATACGAATAAAATAAACATTGTTGGTGTAGCTTGCTCCCATGGTATAAGATACTCGATTCTTAGTATGATGGAATCGTGGTTCCAAATGATATTGGAGCCATGATCTTGGGCATGCGGATCTATATCCCACTTGCTAGGGAACTCGTTCCCAAATAATAGGAATCAAGTTCCCATAACTCTGGATATAAGATCCAATTACGCAAGGCAGCATCTAGAATCGAGATCCGGTCACTCAGAGCATGGGATTGTTAGTTTTACATGAAGTTTATTAAACATGCATATGCAAATATGTAAGCCTGGGGCGCCTCAAAACCAAGGCACCTTGTCTAGGTGGCTGCAACATGCTGGCCCCTCCATAGCTGCAAAGGTACCACCTAGTGCTTTTTTTAATACTGGCTGTAGACCGATGCCTAGGATTATGATGTAGGGTATTTGTGAAAATAGTAAACTCAGCAAGAATTTCAGGCCAAACACGAGTAGTAACTTGGAGAAACCTGAGGTTTTCTTCTTTCACCAAGCGACGTTCAAAAAGCCTAAGCTTTTCTTTCTCTTTCAATTCTGAAAATCACATGGAATAGCCTCTAAGACTCCCACACACCTCTTAAATGGTCTCTTTATGTGATGTTCAAAGGACATTATTTATCCATACAAATAAGAAATTGCCCTATGTTCTATCTCAAGCCACAGAAGTCCATAATGCCTTGTATCTAACTTAAAATGACTAAAGTAGTCTAAAACTAAATGTAACTTAAAAATAAACAATGTAGTGATTTGATGAAGAGAAAGAAAATTAAAGCAATTTCAGCAAAGCACAAGCACCAATTTGAAATAACCTGGGGCTCCTTTTGCAAACCCTAACTAGGGCTTCAAAGCTAAAAGCTTCCCCTTTTTTATTTCAAAATCATGTGAATCTCCCCATAGATCGTGCACACCCAGCATGAAAAATATTAATGTGCAACCAATCTGCCTCCTTTACTACTCGAGGTGTAATCATATTGCGCCATATCACCAAAGCCTCCATATAGTTACTAAATGTTACTTCAGGCTCTTCTTCCTCAAGTTCCTATCATAAACAGGATCACCATCAAAACATAGCTTGTTTTCCTCTTCAAGAAACTTCTCAACAAGGCTCACGAATTTTCTAGTTGGGCAGTTGAGTAGAGACATGCAATTCCTGAACATTTAAAGCACTTAATGTCGCTACATTTTGGAAGATTAGGCAACCAGAACTGGCCTCAACACCTACTTTATCTTACTGTTTGGACAGACCAGCAGGTGTGAGGGCTGTTCATCCACCAAATTCCCATTGTCCCTTTAATTCACTTCCATGGCCACTTGTACTACCCTGAGCTACGTCCACCTTGTTGATTGACGCCTCTGCTGAGCTTCAACTTTAACTACTAAGCTTCATCTAAGGTTCAATAATGCTGTAAAACCACCACATATTGTATAGATGTCCTCAACCCACCAACATAGTTAGCTAGGGATTGTTCTTCGCTTTCAACCACATCACTACGAGCCATCAACTGATAAAATTCCAGGGGTTTATTCACTCTTTTCTCCGTGTTTGAGATTCAACCTATGATAAAGAGATTGTAGATTATTTTCAAGTAAATAATTTTCCTTCTGTTTTTTTTAGAAAAATTTCGTACAGAACCCTAATTCCCCATCTTATTTCATGGTAGACCCTCCTTCCATTTTTCTTTCAAGCGGCATAAAAAAATCTCTAAGGATTTCACCATACCCCCTCATCTCTTATCTCCGTCATTTATTCACTTTTGACCATAAAAATTAGCTCCAACAAACCTTTTTATACCATTTCAACCCAATATGAAAAAGAGATAGGGAGCCCTCAACGCGACATTGAGAGGCTGAAAAGGCAAAAAATATAATAAAAAAAAATTTGAAACGTTTTTGGGTTAAAAGATATAATGGGGTGGGTAAAAAACGTTTTTGGGTTAAGAATGTTTTTGAAACGTTTTTGGGTTGAAATGATATAAAAAGGTTTGTTGGGGCTAATTGTTGTGGTCAAAAGTGAATAAATGAGGGAGATAAGAGATGAGGGGGTACGGTGAAATCCTTAGGAATTTTTTTATGCAGCTTGAAAGAAAAATGAAAAGAAGGTCTACCATGAAATAAGATGGGAACAAGGGTTTTATAACGAAATTTTCCCTTTTCTTTTCATCTTTTCCCAAGTATTACTTTTAAGCTTTCCCATTCTTTCCCTTCTAGCCCTAAGTTGTTCCTATCATGTCAAGGCACCCTTCTTCAATTTTATGGCAATAATTCTTACTTCTTTATTTTCAGGAACCTCCTTATAATATAAAACCCTTTCTTCAATATTTAACCAATCTATAAGCTCCTCAACTAAGGCTTACCATCAAACAACCCTAAGGTAATCACGAAACCTTGTTGAAATCAGTAAATCTAGGCTGATTTTGGAAAAAGTTGGCTCAAAATCAAACCCTAAACTTGGTTGCCGTTTCCTAACATTGTTGTTAAAGAAAATTGAAGCTCTGATACCGAATTGATGTAGGAATTTTGATATAACAGTAAAATCAACAAGAATTTAAGGTCAAACACAAGAAATAACTTGGAGAAACATAGGGTCTCCTCCTCTCTTAAAGATAGGGTTTCAAAAGCCAAAGCGTTTCTTCTTTTTTTTTTCCAAATATGAAAATCACATAGGAATAAGAAAATGACCCCCCATGTCCTAACTAAAGTCCATTTTGCCATTTTGAAACTTAAACTGACCAAAACATTCCCATATTAAATTTAACTTAAAAATAAACACCCGAACTTTAAATAAAATGCCTAGAAAGTCCCTAACTGGTCCCAAAAATAAAATTAAATAAAAAAATCTGAAAACATCTCTAAATCAGCTAAAAAGTACCTAACTGACTCAGAAATATAATTAAATAAAAAATCCTGAAAACAACTCTAAAACAGCTAAAAAATACCCCAAGTATTGCTTGCTCATCTTATTATTCTTGGTAGTGCTCTTAGAGTTTACATCCTCCAAGTATGTGAGAGAATTAGGAGGAATTTGCTGCCCCCAAAGAAGATACTTGTCACTTTGCCACTTGATGCACTTTGCGCATCATCATATTAGAGTGCCCCTTTTATTTTATAGGTTATTATGCTTAGCAGACTATATATTTGTCTTTGTCACTGATTCTCCATGATTCAACCAATATATATTGTGCATTTAATTGGATGTGAAACTTCCTAATCTTTAATATGAAATTGAAACTTGGAAATCAGTGTGAATCATTTGAATTCGAAATATAAATTATAGAATCATTGGATGTCACATTATAATTTCATTTTCTGTAGGCCAAACATGTTAAAAGTTTCAAAGCAACCCTATCTACATATGACAATTAAGATGTCATCATTCTTCATTTCACTACAATTTTTTAAAAACTCTCATAGTTTTTCTTTTTTCCCCCATTTTTCTAGTTTTTTGGGATTTCTTTCTTTATTTTTCTTGGACTAGGACAAGACAGCGAGTCAACCCGAGGCTCACCAAATCAACTTGCCTAGTTCCTGGAGCTAGTCTGTGGCTTAACACACTGGGCCATATATTCAACACCACATATGTATACATGTTCTCATAATGAAAATCAATGGAAGAAGTAGCAAATTATGCAAAAGATTACAGCCCCATTAGAAGATATTAAATATTCAGAAGTTCAGAAAAGGTGCAAATGAGAATATTCTGTATTCTAATGAAGATGACTCTGCAGGACAAAATGAAACTAATTAGCAATGCAATAACTTTAAACTAGTTAATAGGGCAATGAATTTAGCAATAATTTCAATGGACATTGCTGTTAAATTGTAACAGATGCAATAACTAAACATATAAATTTGGGCAACAATGGTAGCAAGACATCATCCAAAATTTTCTACAACCCAACATATCGATGATACATCATGCAAAGAAAATGGAGCCATTAAGGAACATTTTTATTGACTCATTAGAGAAACCACGAGAGTAATCCAGAACCCACGTACATCATTGAGCAGATTTTGGTGCCTGTTCTGAAAATGTGTATCAAGATAGTTCTCAGCATGGAACATTTTCTGACAAAATCCACACCGCCACTCATTCACATCCACTTGAGTTTTATGCTGCTCTTGCTCTCTGAACATGTCATTACTAGGATGAAGTCTACATTTATGTGAGATTTGGTACTTCTCTTGCTCAACAAAGGGCATCAAGTACTGTGACAGAGAGAAAATGAGAAATTTTAAAAAGAAACTATGGTGGAAGCCTGTCAAAAATAGGTGGATAGTTTAATATGCATAGCAAAACGCTATCTATTATAACAGTCACTCTTACCTCCTCTATTATTTTCCAGGCTGCCCTACTTCTTTCTCTGGAGCAATGTACTTCGTGATTGGGCTCATATTGCTGAAGTTGCCTTAACAATAAGGCAACAGCATTAATAGGAATATTTTTTTCTAAAATTAAAGAAAAATACCTAAAAGTAAAAATAACGTACAGAAATAGTTTAGATTCTCTTTTATTTTTTCCAGGGGCAGCAAAGAGTTAGTATAGAGGAAAACAGCATGTGCTGGTAAGCAAAGGCATACAAGGTGGGCCAATCCAAAACTGCACTAATTATAGACAGGCAAGCCAAGTTCAGCGTGAAATTTCAAACACGAACAAAATTTGGGTGCCATGTGATTGATCTACTCCTCAAATCATTCACGCCAACCAGTGTACGTAATCTCAAAAGAAAAACCAAATTAAATGGTCCATGTAGTAGATCTAGTCCCTCAAATTGTTTGGCAACTGGATGACTGCAACGAAAGGAGGCATGCAACAATACATAGTGGACTCCTTCCAATTGGAAAGCAATTTTCCATGAGAAATGAATTGGAGAGCAAGACAACAGCGACTTTTTAGACATTGTAAAGCTTCCTAATAGAGAACGACCAATAGGGAGAAATGTATATTTCTAATCAAACATAAGATGAATAGTAAAAAAACAAAGCCTCACTAATTCCCAAGTGGTTCACACAAGAGCATGGTATAGAAAAGGAGGAGACCATTGCTTTTGTGCAAAATGTGATCTATCAGATGAATCCCTTCCAATATTACTCATTTTACAACATATGAACATATGATGTTACATATGCCTTACTGCACGATGAATTGCATGAAGATGTATTTAGGGAACTTTCTCTAGAGCTTCCATGCACAAGTTGAAGAAAGCAAAGTACAGAATAACTAGACTTCCAAAGTCTAGAGTCAGAACTGCAGTATGGAAGTAGAGAAAATAAGGTTTGAAAATTCGTTTAGAAAAATGTCCCTTTTGTCAATAAAGCTGACAAGTGAATGGCGGTCTTGGATATCTACCTAAACGGCAAAGGAGATGATTACCGCAAAGGATACTAATGATCTTAAGGAGCATCCACAAAATTAATTTTTGACTACTCATATTTTCCAATGAATTCCAAGCTCACCTACCCAAAGAAAAAGGACGTGGGATTTGAAAGGTTGATTGACAATCCCCAATTCGAGGGATAGTGTTAATATGTATCTCTAATGTGGGTGATATAAGGGATATTAAAGTCGGCTACTCGGAACTTCAATACATATATTTTCTGTGATTTCATATCCTCTTGGAACATAAAATCATTATTATCTTTTTTCCTCATCATTATATATCAAGTATTAAAAGGTTAACAAATCCATTTTCTCCATTCTCCCAAGGGTAATATTGGTCACAAATTTGAAGAGGATAAATGATTTATAACAAGATTTTGTGCTTAGCTCTAGTGTTGCTCCATAGAGCAGTGCAATTGAAAATAAAATCATGCCCTATATTACAAGAACACTTTTAAAGATAATGGTCTTGTTGAATGATCAAGTGATCATTAAAGAAGCTAAGGCAAGATTTAAAGAAGTGAAGATAATTTCATATGCTCAATTAGATGATATGCCTGCAATGCACAATTCACTTGACAAGAAATGCAAATGAATCTTTATCAACCACTCAAAAATTAATTTAATACATTAGAAATAATTATAAGAGATTAGAGAGCAAAATATGGTCAAGGGATATTGTAATCACCGTCGCATATTGAAAGCAAGTCGTAATAAATGCCTATATGGAAAGCTTGAGGTCTGGAAAGCATCATACCTTGCTGCAGCTGATACTTGAATGTCCTGGAGCATAAAGAAATGCAAAATTTACGTTAGAAAGTAATAAAAAATATATGGATCCAACACTGCTTCAAGAATGAAAAACTATACACTACTAAAAACAAAAGATAAAATTTTGGGTGTCAGACAGAACACATATTGCTACAACAAAGCAAATAAATATAATATGGAAACCTAGAGCACAGCAAAGGCCTGAGAGAAATGGTAAAACCCAAACATCCATCATTCAAAAACCAGGCCATCAAAGCCTAAGTATAAACTAAAGCACTTAAAGGGGGAAAAAAAGTGAGACCGGGACTAGGGAGAGAGAGCAATTAAAAAAGAAAAAAGGAAAACTGCACTTATAAGAAGAGGGATAATGATTTCACAATTTCTATTGTAAATGGTATCACAATGCGGAATGAAATGAATTTGACAGAAACACATATGCTCAAGGATATGCATGAAGAACACCCCTAATTGGTTCTAGAAGAAGAGTAAAACCTCTTAGCCAAGCATCATATAAGATGTCATTGGAATCATCGAAATCATCATGGCACGTTCAACATGATGTATCAGAAGTCTTTCCAGTGCTTGTAAGGTGGACCAAATGGCATAGAAACTTTCGCTGAAGTTGCTTTGCAGCTCGGAAGTATCATGAAAAATGCTAGGCACCATAGATATTAATGATGAAACATGTTTGTTAAAGATATAATACCTTGAAGGGAAATATAACCTGTAGTAATACTCAATTGACAATCTTGAATGATACTTCACAAGAGATGGAAGGTTCTTTGGATGAACTAGATAGTGTGGACGGTATTCAAAAGACGTTTTGATCATAGTTGTTGGAAATGATTCCTTGAATCCAAATCTTTTTAGGACTCAAAATTGTAGAATCGCGACCCGCTAGAAGATTCTTGTTTTCAGAATTGACGTCCGTACAGGATGAATCATGAGAAATAAGATTCTTATTTTATGGGAATCTGATTCGACCAAAATGGAATTGGGATCCCTACATAGATGAAATCGAGATTCCTAACTCTATGGAATTGAGTTTCTGATCTATTTGCAATTGACTTCTATGGAATCAAAATTCCTTCACCTATGGAATCTAGATACTGACATATTTGGAATCGAGATTCCTAGGAATTCCGAATCCAAATTCATACCAATTTTGAGCTGAGATTCGACCTAGATTAGAATCGAGATTCATAGCAGTTTGGATTAGAGTTTCAACGCATTTAGCAAACGAGATTTGTAGCCCCCTTATAATCAAGCATCAAGCAGACACATGGATAGTTAGTTTTGAATCTTTGTTCCACTTGGCAATGAAATATTACCAAACCATTTATAACTTATTACCAAAACAGTAGTCTGATAATACCATACACAATTAAATTAGAGTTTCAAGGCCATTCTTTGATCAACTTGGCACACATGTATGTGTACATTAGTTTTAAATTTTTCAACTTACAACCTCTCTAATGGATTATTATATTGCACGATTAATGAAATCAGTCTATAAAGATTATAGGCCACTTGATTTTTATTGGTCATTTGCTGTCAAAAGATATAACATAAAGATAATTGCATCTTATAAGTTGTAACTTGAGATTGGGTGTTGGTAATTTGATGCTTTCATATCACAAGCATCAATTGTCCAAAACAAAGAGAGGTGTGACATAGATAACATCACTTCTCCCAAAAAATAAAAAAGAAATTAAAAAAAAAAAACACACAAATTGGATTTTCCGGATTACTAACTTTAAACACTTGTATTTGAAAGTTAATTCAAGTTACAAATAATTCAGCATTGCGTTCACTGGATTACCATTTGGAGCAAGTATAAACCATGAGAAACAATGTCCTCCAATTGGGTTTCCAAATAACTGAATCAGAATCCATAAATATTTGAGTTGAGATTGCACGTAAAACGAATCTCAAATTTGTGCACCTACAAAAAACAGTACTTGATTTTGTGGAATCAATATTCCAAAACAGTTCAGATCAAGATTCTATGGAGGTCAAAGTAAGATTCCATGTTGATTGAATCACAGTTCCCTACACCTATGAACTGAGGTACTTGATGTTGCGGATTCTGAATTCGAAACCAAAATGAATTCGAGATCCATTACATGTGGAATCGGGAATCAACAGATGTGGAATCATGACGCAATAAATATTGGAATTGAGATTCAAAAAAGTGAGACTGAGATTCCATAAATAGTGGGATCGCTATTCCAAAAAAGTTTGAAATGAGATTCTTAAATTAAGGAATCCAAATTCCTGAGTTCCAAAAAACAGGTTCCGTGAGGATTCCTTTTTGAAATCACTGAATTGGGGTTCCGAACCAGTATCGCGATCTTGGCAGAGAGATTCCAGTTACTATGGTTTCGATGTTTGGGGATTGATTTTAATGCCACTAAAATCTCTAATAAGAGAAAGGGCTCCTCGATTGAGTAATGTAATGCAGAGGATTTTGTGACTTAACAAAGAAGAAGAATTGACAGATTCCAACCATATTATGGATTTTATCTTATAGGACTCACCGAACAATCAAGGACTTGTTAAGAACAGAGTTGATAGATTTCTAGTTCTAACTGTTTGACCAGATAGAATATGACTACTGTATCACTGTACATAAGTACTAAGAGATTCCTAGTCTTTCTCTTTTTCTTTTTTGTGATATGAACTCAAATTGGTTGTTGAAATAAGCATGAACAACAGAGTTGTGTATTTTCTGCTTCAGTGGCTTGATAAAGCACTCCAATTGGTTCATGAAGAAAAATATCTTGTAACAATTGCTAAAGTCCCAATTGCTAAACACATCTTAAATTTCTTTATTCCGTTTTATTATCTCGTTACAAGTTAAAACACACAATTACTTGGATAACCAGCTGCACACACGCTTTTCTTGATGCAATTCATCTTCATTTTCCAAACAAGAAGTTAAAAGAAAATCCGAGTTTAACTGATATAAAATTAAAGCAACACTTCCATATTTAAAACCACGGGAAGCATAAAGTAAGGAGGATTCATAAACTCTTCTCCAAGACACTTTTTATCCAATTATTTGTTCGAAGACCATGAAAAACACAGGCAATATGTGCAAGCATCAACACAACATATGATTAAGCGAAATCAAATTGGGATAGATAGAAATAGAAAGAGAATCGAAGCTTTCAGTATTTTACCAAGCAGATCAGAGGCACTTGAATTAAAAAAAAAAAATAATTAACAAGCAAACAGTTCAAAAAGACATAAGAAAATGCACAAGCATCAAAGGAGTCCTGAAGAAAAGAAGAAGAATAATGGCGTTGGGTACAAATGGGATGAAAAAGAAGAAGAAGAAGAAGGGGGCACCTGGTTATTGTTGTAATTGATGGTAGATGAAGAGGATGTGAGGGTAGAATGCAAGAAGAGAGGAAAAAGAAGAGCGATGGACACCGCCTTTGCTACTCCCATACTCTCTCTCCCCCCTCCCTCTCTCTCTCTCTCTCTAGATGTCGGAGTAAAACGCGCAAAATTTCTTCCATAACAATTACGATAAAAGAAATCGCTTCGAATGTATTGTAATGGAACTCAACTTTTTCATAATCATGATATGAAACCTCAAGTTGGTCAGTCGAATCGAAAAGAGGGGTGGCAATCTGGTCGGCCGTGAATAGGTCCAGGTCCATTTATTGGACCCTGTGGATCCGAGTTCAAAAGTCCTGACTCGGTCTAGGTCTGGGTCTGGCTTGGACCAGGCTGGGTGCAGGTTGGTCGACCCGGTATAAAACATATAAAATTTAAACACAGCGAATCGGCCCTCCAAAAATCCAATCCAAATCGGCATATTGGCAGTTTGGATCAACGATCTAGCCTAGTAAGCCACCGAAAAAAAAATTAAACAAAACTAAGTAACAAAAACTGAAAAAATATTAAATAATAGGAAAAGGTTTCTATATTTCCTCTTCTGCATAGAAAAACTATGCTTCTCCTTACCATCCAGCCGTCCAATTTTGATCAAGTGAGTCATCCATCGTTTGATCTTAGATCTGACACCTCAGAGTGTTTATTTTAAAAAAATTTAATACAAATTGTATGAAAATAAAATTTGGTACGTGCCATCTTCTTATTGGGACGCACCTATAAAAAATATTAAAAATAAATTTTTTATAAAATATAATGATCAAAATACCCCTTGAAACTTTTAAGTGTATTTTGGTCATTTTATTTTATTGAAAATATTTTTCTAATATTTTTTAAAATTGTGTGTTTAATAGAGGATTGAACTCCCAAAATTTGGTGGGAAAAATAATTTATATAAAAAAGATTAAAAATAAAATAGTGTAGAGACGTGACATTGTGCTTAGGACAATCTTCGCCCTCCATTCAAAATGGAGGGTTGGATAAGGTAAAGTATATAAATTTTATGTTGTCGAGCAAGCATAGAAAGCTTGCCCTAAATAATACATAAAATTGTATGCTTCCAATATTTAGGCAAAACTAGACTGCCCTTGATGATTCTTGAGTAGAACCGGCCCGTTCTAGTTCGGTTTGCCTATTTTTAAAACCTTAATATGTACTATACAATATATATATATATAATATTTTTTTATTTTTTTTATTTATAGAGCTGAGTCCAAGTCGAGTATGTGTCCATGACTTGAACCCGACTAGGGTTATGATCAGGTTCGAGTCTATGTGAAACCTAATCGAGCCTATCTAGGTATGGAACTGGGTCGACCTGGACCCCGTCCAACGAATTGCCACCCCTACCCGAAAAGTTCATAGTACCAAAAGTGCACCATAAACCACCAGTGCATGGGTATGCTACAGCACTGAGGCATCTACCATCCTTCACACTGTTTTCCAAGTTATGAAAGGTAGAGATTATCATATGGATGAAAATCTCCTCGGATTCAATTAATCGCCTTTTGTGATGGAATAGCCTTACCACGCACCCCATATTCACCGGTCCAAGAAACCTTGCGGTTCACTGAACCTTGAAAAATATGATGGAGCCCTACTTGGCCACCGGAGCACACAATAGAGTTTTTATTCCTTTAACAAGAGAATTATTTGAGGGATTTGTTCCTATCTGAAATTTTAGGATCCACGTGGATGAGTATTTTCAAAAGAAAAATATAGATTTCGGGTTATTGAGAAAAATGTAACGATCAAAAAATTTGGATGCTATCTTCTTCTTTTTTTTTCTTTTTCTTTTTCTTTTTCTTTTTCTTTTTTCTTTTTTTTTTTTTTTTTTTTGTTGAGACACAAAGCAAATAAATTTTATTTTATTCTATTTTTATTGTTGGGTTGAAGAGCTCACATCCCCAATATTTGAGAGCCTAAAAATGATTTTGAGTAGGATATAAGGGACTGGATTCGTGTTGACAAAAGATATAATCTTATAACAAATGGAATTGTATTTTATACAACAACATACCTTTGGGTCAAGCAGTCGGAATCACTTTTACCTCTCAAATGCAAAATTGAATAACTTAGATGTGTTGCAAAGTTAAAAAAAAAAAATTATTTGAGACTATGTCATGCTTTTAGCCACCCAATATCTAACCGAATAACCGAGGGCAATTGTGGACACCTTATGCAAAAGGTAAAATGGTTTTATTGTACACCATTTCTTGACAAATATAATAGGGAAAATTTCATATAGAACTCTAATTTCTCATATTATTTCATGGCAGACCCTCTTTCCGTTTTTCTATCAAGCAGCAAAAAAAAAACCCTAAGAATTTCACCGTACCCCCTCATCTCTTATTTCTCTCTTTTATTGATATTTTACCATAATAATTAGCCCCCAACAAATCTTTATTAACCCTCTTTTTCCCATGCCACCCATTAAAAAAGTTTTTGGGTTAAACAAGTTTTTGAGATGAAATGGTATCAAAAGATTTGTTGAGGCTAATTTTTATGATCAAATGTCAATAAAAGAGGGAGATAAGAGATGATGAAGTACGGTGAAATCCTTAAGGATTTCCTTATACTGCTTCAAAGAAAAAGGAATGAGGGTCTACCATGAAATAATATGAAGAATTAGGGTTCTATACGAAATTTTCCCGATATAAAATTATCTGCGGTTGTAACAATAGTGAAATAAACACACTTTTTTTTTTGTAAATTGCAATGAATATGCAATGCACAAAGGAAATGAAGAATGAAAATAGGGACCATCTATTTCTAGTAAAATGAATTCAGAGTGAGCCTCAATGCATAAATGGTTACCAAAAATGGTAGGGCTTTGGTGTATTCGTTGTAGTGATAACTCTGAATGACTATTAGTAAAACGGTGGGGTTTATCTATAGCCGAGGACCCACTTGTTGTAGTGAGTACACCTTCCCAAATCTATGTTAAAGATGATTTTTGGGATCTAAAACATCAAAGAAATGAAGAAAAAATGAATTTTGAAACTTAAAAATGGTTCATTGCGTCCCCCAAATTTTTTATTTTATTAGTATTATTCATTGTAAATTTGCATGGATCATCGCTAGTGCAGAGCTTTAGAGCTCCAAATTAACAAATTTGAAATTTTTTATAAGATATATTTGGATCCATATGTATCTTATAACAGGAGGTGACAATGAAAAATTTACAATGAGTAATACTAATAAAAAAATTTGTAAGCCGTTGCCCCCTTTTGAACAGGAGTAGACAATGGCTTACAATTTTCCATTTTAAATCTTTTGAGAACAGAGTCAAGATATCTCCCTTGGCTCAAGCACAACATTTTTTATTTTTTATTTCTAGTTATTTTTATGCCTAGGACATAAGATGCTTCTCCCATATCCTTCATCTCAAACCGAGAAGAAAGCCATGCTTAGTCTTATTAATCACTTCTAAGTCATTTCCAACTATTAGGATATCATCTACATATAATGAGAGTATTGTGAATTTACTCTCACTTTTAAAAACATACACACAATGGTCCAATCTATTTACTTCATGCCCCATTGTTTGAACGTATTTTTCAGCACCTTGGTCCCTAGTAGGAAACAAATCAATAAACCCGACAAAATAGTGGAAATTCTCGACAGTTTTAGAATAGCCTCAGAACTGGTCAGGATCTTCATCAACACTTCAAAGGACCACCTGCTGAGTTTCATCATAATCAGACATGTCTAAGGCAGTGAACACAAATAAACAATTTTAGTAAAATCGTTCTCTCCAACATCTTGAATTAGACCCCGTAAATAGAGCTATGCTTTTTGTGCATCAAATAGCTATGGGACCACCACCATTAGATCTGGCACGGTCAAAAACCTCTATGGGTCAAGTTTCAGCTTAATCGGGCACTCCAAGAAAACGTTAGGGGTAAAAGACTAAAATGGGGTAGGCCGCACACTATTCCTATGCGGCCTCACTGCACCAAAATAGAGATGGCTATTTTTATAGTCACGGGTAGTCACTTTTGGGACCTATATCTCACTTATTCCAAGTCAGATTGCTCCCAAATTTGGTGAGCGTGTTCGTCTCATCAAGACGAACAATTCGATATGTGGTACGTCCCTTGACGATGCCCGAGCAGAGAGAAAAACTAAATGAAAATTGCTGATCCGTGAAGGGAGTTTCAGAAAATTCAGCAACAGCACACTTCGTTCGAGCAGTCCGATCACGACGCTCGCATACTCGATCAGCACGAAACCAATTGCATTATGTTCGTGAGGTCCAAGGCTATCTCTGGTCCGAACCTTGAGTACGATGAACGGTTGGACTTCACACACAAAGGCACCAAAGCTGCTGTAAATTTTGATCGTCGGACTTCAAGATTCTGGCCAAAAACCCAAGACGACAAAATCTTCATCCGGACACAAAATGAAGCTACATTTGTTGCATTATGATCGTGACAGCATGCTCAGTGTGATTCAATAAAGAAATCACGAAGAAACATCAATGAACAAGCACACAATCGACCCGAAGTTTTCAAGATTCATCCAAGATTCAAGTCTCATGATCATGCCTTAAAAACATGATTCATGGCTCGAAGTTGGTATCAAAATGATCGCTATGACGAGCCCTACAAGAAAACAATAATCTTTTGATCAAATGGGCATCAGAGCGACCTCGGGTCAGCCACGGAAGATCACGCAAGTTCTCGGGCAGCAGCAGGGATTGTTTTGAAATTCCACACATTGTTAAGCAAGGGCAAAACGGTTCTTTTGCACCCATTTTTAGAATTTCTTTAAATTCAATTAAATTATAATTATCATCAATTTAATTAGTTTTTGGGTATCCAGCCATATTTTAACCCAATTCTATATAAACATGCAAAGCTAAATTGTAAGGGCATTTTGTTCATTTTTGGATTGATTCAATAAAATTTCCATTCCTGCTTGAGTTGGTGAATACTTCTTGGAGAGGGAGAAAGGAGAGAGAAGAAAAGGGCCAATACCTTTCAAGCATGTAACTTTCTCTCTCCTCTTTTTCTCTCTCCTCCCCTCTTTCTCTCTCTTTTTTCTCTCTCCTCTCTTCTCATCTGTATCTCCTTCTCATCTCTATCTATTTCTCTCTCCTCCCCTCTTTCACTTTCTTCTTTATCTCTCCTCTCTTCTCATCTCTATCTCATTCTCATCTCTATCTCTTTTTCTCTCATTATCTCAGTCTCTCTTCTCCTATCTCTTTCTCTCTCCTCTCTTCTCATCTTTATCTCCATC